TGCAGTGGGTAGGCTTCATTTGTGGGGGAAGTTTCATAGAACTTTATTGGAAGAGTGAGTTTGTTGGATTCTTCATTAAATATAATTATTAATTTGTGTGTCCAGACACTACAACTCTCTTTCTATCATTCATAGTTTCAGCTAAAGGAAAGGGATGTAGATCATTGTGATAAATTATCTGTACAGAAGCACAATGTGATTTGTGTATTCTAACATATTACTCTAAAAGTGTTGGGCTCTTTAAGAACTTCCTTCCCCCTCGGTGTACACGTACTAAAAACACACGTGAGCTGTTTCTGTACTTGATATGTTGTGTTGGTGACAAGAGCTCTGTTAATAAAAAATTGGGTTCATCTGCTATCCTCATGACAGAATGAACCGGCCAACGCAGAAACCAGACAGTATGGGGGGTGGGGAATAGTTCATGGGGGATAGTCCAGGGTGCATAGGTGGACTGGGGGTCTTGGGTTTTCAGGAGGAGGGCTGAGGACGAGGAATAGAGGAAGACTTGGATGAGGACACATGGGGAAAAGTCTTGGGGAAAACAGTCCGGGACTGAAAAGTGGTGGGGGTAACCTGGGGAACAGCAGGTAATGGAACAGGATACATGACAGGGTGTGTAGTAGGTGGCCGTGGCGTGGAGAGAGACAATGCTGCTGCAGGCTGCGGAGCTGGTACCGGGTCATAGAACTCCGCAGTATAACCAGAACCAGCGCTCCTCACATCAGACTCGGAAGTAGCGTTTCTCATATCTGATTCGGGAATAGCGTCTTCTGTAACCGACTCAGGGACATCAATCCGTGCAGCTGACTCAGGAATAAAACTCTTTACAGCTGACTCAGGAACCATAGTCTCTGCATGTGATCTGGGAACAGCGCTCTCTGCAGCTGAGGTGTCTGTCAGGTCTCGTGTTTGATGTCCCTTGAGGAGCGTCTGGAAGCCGCTCCCTAAGGTTTTTTTTTCATGATTCTGACAACTAGTCCTTGTCTTTAAGTCATGGCGCAGGATCATGACAGACCCATGTTTTGTGTGCAAGCACATGGCCTTGTGTTTGGGCTATGTGCTTGTGTTGTCTTGCTCCCTCGCCCCCTTGTTATCCTCATTTTGTCCTTATTACATTATCAGTATAACCTCTTGTCATTAGTAGTTTCTCCCAATTTAATCCCCTTGTGTTTGCTTTCATGGGCCGGTTCATTGTCATACATTGTGAGATACTACCTGTTAGTACCCTGTCTTAGTAAATAGTCTTGTATAGTGTTCGCTCTTGTATTTGCTGTCTGTTTATAGTCTAGTTTTTGTCAAGTATAGTCTAGTTTAGTAATCTCTCTTTCTTCTTGCCATTGTTTTGCTCCCTCGTGGCTTTTGTTTTCTGTTATCAATAAACATTGTGTAATTGCATACCGTCTGCGCTTGGGTTCATCTGCTATCCTCATGACATTATGACACCAAATTTTAGATACCAGTGAAATTCTTGATTCCTATTTTGGAATTTTAAAAATTAACAGTCAGTAATAGAATAACAAATAATAGGGAGTTACATAAATACAACAGAACAAGCATAAGAAATGACCTGTGCTTTTCAGGATATTCAGGTGGGCCGAACAATATTTTTCACTTTTCCGGTACAGAAATTGAATAAAGTAATCAAATGTCAAGTAACACTGCATAGAGAAATTCAATGACTTGATCTTTATTGACAGCCACAGAGTAATGGAAGTAAACTAGTGAGTATACCATGCAATGAGACTTTCGATGAATCGAAATTGGTTATAATGGAATGTATTTTCCCTACAGATGTTGGAGATCGAGTGTGCCCTGTGATTGGCTGGGTGGAGAGCCTGGCAGGTCTGTTACAATAGTCTTCAATGTATAAATTAACACATTTACACAGATGTATGTGCAATTCTTTATAGTTAATTGAAAATGCATGAAAAACATTTTTAAAACCCTTTCCAATAAAGATATTTCAAACTTTTGGATTTGGATTTTACTAAATTATCTTTAAAAATACAGTATCCTGAAAAAGGGACATATTTCTTTTTTTTTTCAGTAAATTACCATTCTCTACTTTTTTTAGGTAAATGTCTTTCAGATTTTCCAATAGGCATGGAAACTACTTTCAACTGAACAAGCCCACCCTTCAGTTACATTCATTATAGCCGCGTTTCCACCACAATTACCAGGAACTATTTGTCCCAGGAACTTTTTTCATAGGAACTTTTTTTTTGCCCCAGACCGCTTGCTTACTGCATTTACACCGCGGACTAAAGTACCGGTCCGGGCGGGAAGATTATGTAGCGACGTTGAACTGTGTGCGATTGCTCCTCCAGTCTGCGCATTTGTTTTGAGTTTTGTATGGAGGAGATTCAAGCTGTGCTGCTTTTGTGTGCGATTGATTTACTAACGAGGTAATTACAGTGGTGGAAAGAGTACTGACAAATTGTACTTAAAGGGATAGTTCACTTTGAAATTAATTTTTGATATGTTTTAGCTTACCTCCAGGGCATCCAAGATGTAGGTGTCTTTGTTTCCACAGTATCTTCAATTTTGATAATTTTAGGTAAAACCGTTGTTGTCTGTCAGTCATACACTGGAGGTGCAGGGGGTCCACCTCAAAGAGCAGTCAAAATTAAACATTATTTAATGACTCGTAAATTTAAGTACACATTGATGCCCTAAGACACGAAATGAGTGGTTTTTGTGAGAAAACGAACAGTATTTATATATTTTTTACCTCTTGTAATCACAGTGACGCCCAAGTGATCTGAATCAGTTGTGCAGTGTCCAACTGAACCGAACTGAATCAGTTCAATGTTACGCCGGAAGTGATCGCTTGCGTGTGACGTCACTCAATATTTACACAGAGATTTCGGAAGTTTTACCTTTTACTAAACATATTTAGATATACCGAAATCGTCTTCCATTGCTGTTTCCCGTATATCTAAATATGTCTAGTGAAAGGTAAAACTTCCGAAATCTCTGTATAAACAAAGAGTGACGTAGGCGCGCAAGCGATCACTTTCACTTTCGCATGCGCTGACCGAAGCGCCCTGCTCTCAGATCAGTTGGACGTGGATATGGTTACACGAGGTAAAAAAGATATAAATACTGTTCGTTTTCTCACAAAAAAAGGGCATTAGTGTCTTAGGGCATTAATGTGTACTTACATTTACGAGTCATTAAATAATGTTTAATTTTGACTGCTCTTTGAGGTGGACCCTCTGCACCTCCAGTGTATGACTGACAGACAACAACGGTTTTACCTAAAATTATCAAAATTGAAGATACTGTGGAAACAAAGACACCTACATCTTGGATGCCCTGGAGGTAAGCTAAAACATATAAAAAATTAATTTCAAAGTGAACTATCCCTTTAAGTAAAAGTATTGCTACTTAAAGGGTTAGTTCACCCAAAAATGAAAATTTTTTCAGTATTTACTCACCCTCATGTTGTTCCAACCCCGTAAGACCTTCGTTCATCTTCGGTACACAAATTAAGATATTTAAAATATTAAGATCGCTCCTGCATACAGTCTGTAGGCTTCTTGAGGGACTGGCTCTTGCTGTACCCGAAAAGTCATTAAAGACATCGTTAAAATTGTCCAAGTGACTACAGGGGCTCAATCTTCAGTTTATCAAACGACGAGAACACTTTTGTGCGCAAAAAAACAACAAAAATAACGACTTTATTTCAACTATTCACTTCCTTCTTCATGGGCCACTAGTCAGTTAACGTAGTGTGATTGCGTAGAGCTACGTCACATGTAGGCTCACTATTGGCCGACGCTGGTCGTGTGTGTGATGCGTGTGACGTACAATAACAGAAGCTTACGCTATTAAACTAGTAACCTGACTCGCGCAGAGGGAGAAATAAACGAATAGTTGAAATAAAGTCGTTATTTTTGTTGTTTTTTTGCGCACAAAAGTGTTCTCGTCGTTTGATAAACTTAAGATTGAGCCACTGTAGTCACTTGGACTATTTTAACGATGTCTTTAATGACTTTTCGGGGACAGCAAGAGCCAGTCCCTCAAGAAGCCTACGGACTGTATGCAGGAGCGATCTTAATATCTTAAATATCTTAATTTGTGTTCCGAAGAAGAACGAAGGTCTTACGGGGTTGGAACAACATGAGGGTGAGTAAATACTGACATAATTTTCATTTTTGGGTGAACTAACCCTTTAAGTAATAATTTACTTGAGTACAAGTAGAAGTACTGAAAAATAATATTACTCAAGTAAGAGTAAATAAGTAGTTTGCTTAAAAACTACTCAAGTAACTACGATACAAAGTACTTTAGTATTTTTCTATTTTTACCCAAAATGGGGAGATGATAGCGAAATTGAGTGCTAAACACTCTCATGTCATCTGTTTCATTCATACTGAAGACCTAGTACTATTAAACTTACACATTTCAGGAAATGCCTTATATGGATATTATAACATGTAAATAGTGATGTTTTGACTGATGAAACATTAAGACAAACACATATATCTGCTATAATATATCTGTGTTTATCAAACTATCAGGTATTTTCTAAAGAATGATGTATGTCTTAAAAGGGATAGTTCACCCAAAAATGAAAATTAGCCCACGATTTACTCTCCCTCAAGTCATCTTAGAAGATATGACTTTCTGCTTTCAGTCGAATAAAATCAGAGTTATATTAAAAAATGGCCTGGCTCTTCCAAACTTTATAATGGCAGTGAATGACAGGAGACAATTTGAAGCCCAAAAAAGTGCATCCATCCATGATAAAAGTGCTCCACATATAAACTACTAGCTTTCTCTGTTGTCAAGAGCAATTTTTTATTACTAATTTTGAAAAGTAAGTCCAGGTAAGATCATTTGAATGTTTTGATTTGAATCATTCATAATTGAATGCAAAGAAGGTTAATTGAGAGGTCCGATTAAAAAAAAAAAAGGTATGAAAAACAATAAAACAGTAATGAACTACACTTTTACAAGCAACTGATTGACAGAGAAATCATGCGATCTTATTTCACTGTTTTTTTTTTTTAGCTTTTTACAAAGTTTGCTTTATATATTTAGTTTAACTGTATTGTTAAACAGGTGAGCTTTAACATTAATTGAACTGTGTGCATGTATTTTAGACACTTACATTGATCTTGCTCCATCCATGCAATAACTGCGTCCATGTTATGAGCCAAGCTTTTTTATTTACTTCAACTGCTTAGTGCTCTGGTATTATCAATTGTATAACCCATTTCAGTAGTTGCCATAATTAAATATGAGCAGGATACTCACTTACATTCACTGAAATATTGAAACGTTAGCGATACAGATTGAAAACACAAGCGCCAGTGATTTAATGTCAAAGCGCAATTTGAACGCCCAGCCGAACTGGAGGTTTTGATTGGTTTTGCACCCGAGTCAGACCTGTCTGTTATTGGCTGAAGGGCTTCAGATATGTCTGTTATTGGCTGAAGCACAGGGCTCCACCGCAGTAGTTTTAAAAAAGTGTCTGTCAAATGTCAGCTTGCCCTTTTGCTCCGTCGGTACCTTTGTCAAAGTACTTTGTACATTTTATGAAATATAAATGTAGAGAAGTTGAATACTTCATTTTTATTTTACTCAAGTAAGAGTAAAAGTACCACAATTTAAATATACTCAAGAAAGTAGAAAAAATGAAAATCTACTCAAGTACTGTAACGAAAGTATTTGTAATTAGTTATTTTCCACCACTGGGTAATTAACAAAAAGGCAGAAATGAGACGAGCACCCAAAGCGTATTCAGAAAGCTTCTCATGCTAGATATAAAAGCAGACGGTTGTTATCAGTGGACATTGACCGTGAGATGGATGGGAAGAATGTGCGCTATCGGGCAGAGAGAACAAGTGGTAAGAACCAATCAGCATGTTCAGCGCACAAGACCCTCACCGAAAGTTCCCGAACTCTGAAAAAGTACTACCTCGCCAGCAGGGACTTTCTCTGGGGGAAATTTTTACCCAGAACTTCATTTAGACCCTGGTTCCTGCGGTGTAAACACACCGAGTACCACCCCAAAGTTCCTAGTTCCTTTGGAAAGTTCCTGCGGTGGAAACGCGGCATATGTAGTTAATAGACAGAAAAAAAAGACATAAATGTCACTTATGATCTTCTAATGCGGCTACTTCTTAAACACTACAACTAGAAGTGTATTTTTTATAGTGCAATTTGTCATTGGAACCTTTTCCATTACCTAACCTATGGATCCTCTTGACCAAGGGTGAACTATTCAGCCATTTACAATTGATGATACCTGAATTATACAAAATAGTGTGTTACCCTTAAAGCTCCTCATGTATAGGCACTTTATCTTCCTCATTTACTGTGATGTTCAGTTCATCTTCAGATATCTTGCCATCTGTGTTGAGATCTTGATTTTTGAACATATCCTTTAGGACAGTGTCGCTGTCTATTCCTGGATGTATGCGGCCTCTGCCTTCAGCCACCTGTAGCATAATGAATGCTGAAAACTGCAGAAGAAAATAACAAAAATCAATTGGTAAGCAGATGTGATATACATGCATGTCACAAGTCATACACAGAGATCTCTGTATTTGCACTTCATATTTGTGTGATAGGAGGATCTCTGTTTAGTTGTATGCTGACTTGATTAGACATTTTGATTCTTGTGCACAGTAGACAGAAACTGACATATTGTGATAGCAGCCCAATTGATGGATTTATGATTTTTCTAATATTCCCCTTCATACAGTGTTATAGAGCTGTTTATGAAAGTAAAAGTTCTGGAAAATTGTAAAGTCGAAACAGCACAATAAATAAATTTATTTTTTCCCAAAAGCAAGAATCGACTCTGAACTGCCAATATGAGTCGGTTTTCATTTGCTTTATGATTCTATGTCTCTAGAAGATACATTTGCATAATACCCGCAAATGTATCTATGTTGTAAGTTGTCCATGCACGAAAAACTTGACCAGCCCACAACACATCATTTTACTGACGACAGCTTCTCATATCTCGGAGTTCAATTTAAGATTTGCAAAACGCTCACTCTTTAAAGATGGATCGACTGTTTATTTGGACCAGCTTGACACAATGCCATTAACCAGTCCTTTTTGTTTCATAAATTTACTTTGGTTATTTCTACAAAGGTTCAGAAATATTAAGTTATTACACAATGAAACAAGAGAATCATGCTACCAAATACGTCTGACATAATGTTTTTAAGAAAAAGCAGTGTTTTAAAATACAACTAAACCAGATGATTTTTCTTTTGACAAACCTACAGAAATGCATGTTGATTACTAAGTTTCAGAAATAGTGCAAACAGGCAATGTTCGAGAAAGCTAATATTGGTGTAATCTTTGTGAGGTCTCACCCACAAAACAAAACTTTGTGTCGGGTGATCCAGGCATAGCTTTACTAAAAGATACCATATTTTATTTATTAATATTTACTAACACTTCAACATCCAGCACAAAATCAAATATATTTATTAGCAAAAGATTTTCCTTTTCATCCTGGGAACCTGTCATTGGGGGAGTCCCTGACGAATTGGGATCACACTAGGGAGCCAATTGCCTTTGAGAGAATTAAAAACGAGCCAATAAACATTGGCATGCAAGATTTGAAGGTGGAAGTAAACATTGCATTATGTTTTTTCTTCGGAGCCTCACAGTGAGTTTCTGTTGCCGAAGTTGGAGAGAGAGAATCTACTTACGAGTCCTGGAAGAGAAGAAGGTCCTGTGTGGCTGGTGTGGCGACAGTGATCATCGCTCCCGCTGGTGTAAACAGGTTGAGTGCAGCACACGGGCTTGCAGTTTCCCTGTGTGTCTGCCGCCGTGATCCCTCTGTGCTTCGGCATGCAAGAGAGCACTCTCTCTTCCTCACAAAAGAGCATTACGGGTGTTTCGTGTCCTTTTCAAGATATCGTCTCACCTGTGCGTTTCTGGATGCGGTCGAGTTCTACCTCAGGAAGATGGCCACAAACACTGTCTCTCGTGCTTGGGCTTAGAGCACGCTGAGGCACTGATCCACAAATGCTTCCCACTGATCCAGAGTGAAGAAGACCGCCGTCGCCATGTCGAGCCCGTCAGGTTCGCCGTTTACGGAGATTATTCAATCACTCGCGGCCATGCAGAGGGAACAACATCAAGCCCTGCTGTCCTTTAAGGAAGAACACGAGCAGCGCTTCCAGGTGCTGCTTCAAGGACAGCAGGAGGACCGCGAGTTGTTCCGGAGCTGTTTCGACCAGGGGGCTGCGGCCACCCCCGCTACAACATCGGCCGCGGCACTCTCGGTGTCAAGGATGGGTCCCCAGGATGAACCGGAGGCGTTCCTGGACCTGTTCGAGAGGACAGCTGAGGCCCGGGGGTGGCCCAAAACAGACTGGCCGCTGCGACTCATCCCACTCCTATCAGGGGAGTCGCAGCTCGCCGCCCACCAACTGCCAGTCTCCAGTCTCCTGGTCTACCAAGATCTACGGCGCGCCATTCTGCAGCGGGTCGGCCGGTCGGCGGAACAACATCGTCAGCGGTTCCGTTCCCTGACTCTGGAGGAGGCCGGTCGGCCCTTCGTGATGGCGCAACAGCTCCGGGACTCCTGCCGTAAATGGCTGGTGGCCGAGGGAAGGGACGTCGGGACAATCGTCGACCTGGTGGTTCTTTGGAGCAGTTCATCACGAGACTTCCCAAGAAAACAGCTCAATGGGTCCAGTGCCACCGTCCGACGTCCCTGGACCAGGCCATCCAACTGGCGGAAGATCACATGGTGGCGTGCTCGGGGGTCGGCGAACCCCTCCCATCTGCCTCTCTCTCCCACTCTTTTTTCTCCCCCTCCCCAGTCTCTCTCTCTCCCCCCTCTGGAAAAACTATCCCTTCTCCCAGGTCTCGGGGTGGGCCGGCGCCCAGGCTCGCGCCGCGATGGAGATCCGGCGGCCAGAGGGACTCCCCGTCGGCCGGGAGGATGACGGAGGGGGGGACACCGGGCGGGGGATTCCCCTCCCCGGCTCCGGTCGTTGCGCTCTCCCCACACCAATCCCTTGCCCCACTTCCCGCCGCTGGGACAGCGGGAAAGCCCGGGCCGGCCTGTTGGCGCTGTGGGGATCCGGGACACTTTATTGATCGCTGTCCGGTGATGGAGGTGGGGACGCTGGTCCGGGTCCCCGACGCGCCAAGGGCCGCCCCCGATCAAGCTGGCTTGTACCAGATACCCGTGAGTATCAAGGGGGGTACTTATCAGGCTTTGGTGGATTCCGGATGTAACCAAACCTCGATTCATCAAAGCCTGATTCGATCTGGGGCATTGGATAACAGCCGCATGGTTAAGGTAAGGTGTGTGCACGGGGTCGTGGTGAGTTATCCCTTAATGCCGGTAAAAATTTTATTCAGGGGTCAAAAGCATAGTGTGGAGGTGGCAGTTAACCCGCACCTCCGGCATCCGCTAATTTTGGGTACGGATTGGCCGGGCTTTACGAATTTGTTGAAATTTTTATGTGCGGGTGTCGCTCGGGGGAAAAAACAGCGGGGGAAGACAGCGTTGGTGCAGGTGGAAGACACTGTACCGGGACCTCTGGGCACTGCGGCGGGGGAACAGAGCGCGTCAGAGGGAAATATTCTCTCTGAGCGCGATGATTTTCCCTTGGAGCAGTCCCAGGATGAGACGCTCAAACATGCGTTTGATAAGGTCCAGTCCATCGACGGACGGCTGCTCCACCCGCACCAACCGCTCTCTTACCCCTATTTTTGCATAATTAAAGATAGGTTGTATCGGGTGGCCCGAGACGCCCAGACAAATGAGGATACAACCCAGTTATTGGTACCAAAGAGCCGTCGGGAAATGCTTTTCCAGGCGGCTCACTGTAATCCGATGGCCGGTCATTTAGGGCAAACGGCGACACTAAACCGTCTCATGGCCCGATTCTTTTGGCCGGGCATTCACGAGAACGTGCGCAGGTGGTGCGCGTCTTGTCGCGAATGTCAGTTGGTTAATCCACCGGCCACTCCAAAAGCACCCTTGTGCCCCCTTCCACTGATGCAGGTCCCCTTCGAGCGAATTGGCATGGACCTCACCGGGCCATTAGAACGGTCAGCACGAGGGCATCGTTTTGCGTTAGTCTTAGTGGACTACGCAACACGATACCCGGAGGCAGTTCCGCTTCGCAATATCTCAGCTAAGAGTGTCGCAAGCGCGCTGTTTTCTTTAATCTCCCGGGTGGGGGTCCCGAAAGAGATCCTCACCGATCAGGGCACGGCGTTTATGTCAAAGACAATACGCGAACTTTACGAGTTGTTAGGCATTAAATCGATTCGCACCAGCGTCTATCACCCACAAACGGATGGTCTGGTCGAACGGTTTAATCGGACGTTAAAAGCCATGATTCGTAAGTTCGTTCACGAAGACGCCAAAAATTGGGATAAGTGGCTAGAACCCCTGTTGTTTGCTATACGCGAGGTCCCCCAAGCCTCCACGGGGTTTTCCCCTTTCGAGCATCTTTTCGGTCGTCAACCCCGTGGGGTGTTGGATGTACTGAAGGAGACTTGGGAGGACGGACCATCCGCTAGCAAAAACGAAATTCAGTATGTCCTGGACCTGAGAACGAAACTTCACACTTTGGGGCGGCTATCTTTGGAGAATTTGTTACAGGCCCAGGACAGACAGAGGCAGCAATATAATAGGGGGCTAGACTTCGTCAATTTGCACCGGGAGATAAGGTCCTTGTATTACTTCCCACGTCCAGTTCGAAATTACTCGCAAAGTGGCAAGGGCCCTTTGAGGTCACACGGCGGGTTGGGGATCTCAACTATGAGGTAGTGCGAACAGATAGGGGCGGGGGACGTCAGATTTACCACCTCAACCTGCTTAAAAAATGGGTTGAGGCTGAGGCAGTGATGCTGGCGACGGTGGTAGGTGGAGATGAGGACCTCGGGCCAGAAGCGAATATCAAACACCATTCCTTCGCTCTGGCTCCCTCTGGCGACCACCTCTCACCCTCGCAGCTCACTGACATTAAGAATTTACAAACAGAGTTTGCGGATGTGTTCTCGCCCCTACCTGGCCGAACGAATCTCATTCAGCACCACGTTGAGACTGATCCGGGGGCCGTAGTACGTTGCCGCCCGTATCGTTTACCGGAACACAAAAAAAAGTGGTTCAAGACGAATTAGAGACAATGCTGGACCTGGGGGTAATAGAAGAATCCAACAGTGACTGGGCAAGCCCGATAGTTTTAGTCCCGAAACCTGACGGCTCGGTTCGGTTCTGTGTGGATTATAGAAAGGTGAACGCGGTGTCTAAGTTTGATGCTTATCCAATGCCGAGGATTGACGAATTGCTTGATCGGCTTGGTTCCGCTCGATTTTATTCGACACTGGATTTAACAAAGGGATATTGGCAGATCCCCTTATCTCCAATGTCCAAAGAAAAAACAGCTTTTACCACGCCGTTTGGATTACACCAATTTGTCACGCTTCCGTTCGGGTTGTTCGGGGCACCGGCGACTTTTCAGCGTTT